ATCTCAACAGCTTATGTCACCTTCTCGGATTATGTCTCGCATACAAACAAATCTGTTCATGTAGCACATTAAAGATTAATAAGTTATCAAATGTAAAGTATATTAATCAGGAGACAATATTTAGATCATTTCTAAAGATCTAAAAAAGTTAAAAGAGTTTTCTGAAATCGAACTTAAATATGTTACCGGCAAAATTTAGGTTATTACAGTTCTAATATATATTTTGTGTCTATTTGTTCGTGTTGAACGGCGCACTGACATAATACTTAACATTCATCGTCGTATACTATACTTGTTTAAGTCTTTTAAGTCAGTTTGTACATGTTCATAAAATACAATACATTACCCATAAGTAATTAATCAGGTGGGGGTAAAATGTTCTAATCGCGAATTTACCCGATAAAAATTATCACGAGCCTTTGTAAGATCACGACATGCAAGAAGGGCATGTTTAAAAGTGGAATATGCATTGTAAGCTTTACAAATGTAGCATCGTCTCCTGTTTAAAGCTCTAGTGTGACTGGTTCGAAATTTTAGAAAAACAAGTTGATCCTGGCGGTTTAGAAGAAATAAAAATGGTGATACACAGAGGTTGAAACGTTGCCGTAATTACCAAATTGTATGATATAAAATGACTAAATGTTCAGTTTCAATAAAGGTGGATTGACCGGATAGATTTTATTTTATCTTACTTCAATTTAATGACAGAACACAGTGTTTTGTTGTACAGGAATCCTACTTACATTTTGTGTTGCTTAATAAGGTTAAAATAATAGTGATAATCATTAAAAAATCAATTCTTAAAACAGCAGGAAGCGATTTAGTGCATTTTGATGAATAAAAATTTATTAAGTTATGGACATTAATTTTATATCAAGACGCAGATGTGTAAATACATTCTAGAACTTCACAGACCGTGCAAACCCTTTTTTACATTTCTATGAAATTGTTTCACTCAAAATAAGATTAGATTTGTATATAAATCTAAAGGAGCGTAGCAAAAACTAAACATTTATTTCAAATGCTATGGGAACGGTTTAAGGTTATATAAAACAAATCTTCGTCTAACTGGATCACAATCTAAATCGAACCAGGCATTGATATCCCACGAGACACAAACCTTTATATGAGCCGCGCCATGACAAAACCAATACAATGCGTTTGCGACCAGCATGGATCCAGATCAGCCTGCGCATCCGCGCAGTCTGATCAGGATCCATGCTGTTCGCTTACCAACCCTATTACAAGTAGAGAAACTGACAGCGAACAGCATGGATCCTTATCAGCCTGCGCGGATGCGCAGGCTGGTCTGGATCGATGCTGGTCGCAAACCCACTATGTTGGTTTTGTCGTGACGCGACTCATATGTATAATAGGCACTGTTAGTATCTAACCTCAATGCTAAATGTCTTCCTGTAAACTTTAGAGAAAACAAATCAATTATAGTTTCTGTGAACTCAATTTATAATAATCAATGCGTTCAAAAACCAGTTATAACAGAAATGAGCCGCGCCACGACAAAACCAACATAGTGCGTTTGCGACCAGCATGGATCCAGACCAGCCTGTGCATCCCGCGCAGTCTGATCAGGATCCATGCTGTTCGCTTACATACCCTTTTACAAGTAGAGAAACTGATAGCGAACAGCGTGGATCCTGATCAGACTGCGCGGATGCGCAGGCTGGTCTGGATCCATGCTTGTCGCAAACGCACTATGTTAGTTTCGTCGTGACGCGGCTCAAATCGTGAACAAACAAAGATAAATATTATTTCTCTTGAGATATTAAGTATGACCAATATATAAACATGTATACACATATATGACATGTATAAACAGACACGTGATCATCAATTCGTCATTCCAAGACAAACCGATTTGACAAATCGATATTTTAACTGGCTAGAAGTAAATTAAGCACAGTTTAAGGTTAAACGTTTGTCAATTACGTGGAATAAGTTCCAATAATTGCTAATTTCCCAAGAGAAGTACATGACGTAGATGCAAACATTCCCCCGTGACATCCGTCTTTGAAATTTACATTATAATTTTGTCTCAATCAGACGTAATCTTTATTCTGATGAATGAAACAACAACAAGATTTACCTCGTTTATATCGCATTTCTCTTTTCTTTGACCTTGAGTAAAATGACAATATTTTGTTCGAGTAAATTACCAATGTGTTTAAAACATACCACAAAAGGAAATGGTGGAAGTGTGCTATTCCAAGAGCGTGTATTATCCTTGTGAACTGTTGGTTTGACATGTCAGTCCAATGACAAAGAATATCAAATTTTTAAAGTAAAAATATTTTTATTATAAGTAATTGATAGTAACAGGGAAACAATAACAGGGAAAAAATGTTAAATAATTGATTATATTTGATCATACAGGTAGATAATCAAAACGTATAATATTCATTAATGGAGATACTACACTTACCATATGTTGTACAATATATTGTATTTCAGTTTCCATGGTTACCATATTTTTGTTCTTAATATCTTTCAAGTGACTTTTTATAAAATAAGCAGTATATGAAATAATTCTCATCAACGTCTTTTAATGACAGGAAACAATAATAAAATTTTAGTCCATTAGCTAATGTTCAATAGTTGCCTGAAACAAAATATCAGCATTTTTCTTATATAAGATACAACCGTCCAAAATGATGTTAGATTTCCGCAGCTCTTAGTGAAACGTCTAGAACCTGTGAGAGATATTGGAATGAAAGTAACACTACCGATCGCATTTTAATACAGGAAATGCCATTGAGCTATCTTTTTAAACAATCTTAAAACGAAACTCACATTCTGAGTGCACTTCAAACTTTATAAATGAAGATTTCCCCTCAAATATCTTAATATCTTTGAAATCAAAGTCAATCTTACCTATCTTTTATTTGCTAAACAACCTTTACTCAGACTTTAAGTTAGGCTATATAAATGCTTAAAAACCATAACAATACATTATTATATTATGAAGGCGTACGCGTATAAGCGTCTCCCCCCCCTCTTTTTAATTTAAGTTTAAATTTTAAATACAGCTTTTAAATCTTAGTGTGGGATATAATCCCACCGTTTTCCGGCCCCATCCAATGCAATTATTTTGCATTTTTGGGGCAGGAAATATTGTACTCACTAGTCACATATGCAGATATTAACTAAATAAAGTGTTTTCCCTGTAATAAATGAAGCATACTAGTATGCTCGCCCATATGGTTTTAAACCGGTGGCGAGGGTAAATAAACCCAACACACACACACACGATACATTACTATGATAACGATCATATCGTACGTACGGTGTTGATCTTAAAGTAATTCTTTGTATTTTTATATTTATTACAGCTTATAAGATACTTATGGCTATGATATATTTTTTCTGATTATTTTTTTAAAAAACACATTGATTACCTATTTTGGATTATACTTTACTACATAACATGGGCCAATTAAGTAAAGAAACGAAAATAACACAGTGGTTAAATCATATTTAATTTCCTTTACTTTAAAATAATTGAAATAAAATAGAATTTTCCCACAAAATTATTTAATACATGCAGGCATATATTTATATTAATTGTCTAAACATAGAACTAATTTTGTTTGATATTCAATAATACACGCTTGTGTTCATCATCAAACAATCAGACATTTTCACAAGAATAAAAGATTAGAATAGGAAAGAAAAATTATAAAGATCTACTATGGTCACCCTTGAGTAAAATATTCTAATAACAGAAATTTAATGAAATCTATGAAATTCTTACAAACTGTGTTTAATTTGAATAAAATAATGGAAAAAAAAACAAACAAAAAACAAACAAAAAAACAGTGTACGGGAAGGTGCATTTCCTATTACAGGTCAAGTGAAGTTGTTCAAGTCTTTTCTTAAAAAAAAAATGCCAGTTTTTTTAATGACACTTATCTTTATATTCATACTGTGACCACCTAAGGTGTGTAGAATTTCAAATATATCTGCTTTGATTGGAGTCAAAACATGTTTATCTTATATTTTCAAAGAGAACTTTTTTCGAGAACTGTTATTGAATGTTTCACAAGAAAAAGATGTGGATTGGTCAGTTATCAGGGCATTCGAATTCTAGTTAATACATGTTCAACGACCTTTAGCAAAATCTCGTCAGTACAACATTTTATTCTAATGCAAAGAAAAAAAAGAAACCAGAGCGTTATATTTTTCTTTGTCAACCTTATTGAAAAAGCGCTATTTCATGATATGCATTATATATTGTGTACGAATTTGCAATAAAACGTGCTTTTATTTCAACAGCGAATGCTCAGATTATGTTTTGCATGCAAACAAATCTGTCCATGCAGCACATTAAACGATTCGTAAGTTATGAATTGCAATATGTTTTAAATCAGGCGTGAATATTTAGATAATTTCTTAATATCGGGTTTTGTCAAATCGGAACATGTCATGCAACTAGCAAAGTTTATGTAGCTAAGGGTTATAAACAGTAAAAATAATGGCACATCGATGAATACTGGCCATACCGCATCGAAAACTTCTATTAGCATAAAGTGAGGTAGTACAAGTTTATGAAATGAAAAATCATAGAAGAAAGGTTTACAACTTTTATGTTATTGATCAGGGATTTTGATGTAACTGAGACAAAAAGTCCTGCTTGTGAAAATATTCGACGGTGGCAAATCAATGACAAGCTATACAATGGATCATTGTTTTCGCTTTAAATGTAAAAACGTGTATCCCTGGTGTGCACTTGAAGTACTAGGTGGTCATGGTGATTTAGAAAAGATAGAGATGATACCCTAAGATCAAGCCGTAATAAATCAATCTTAATGAAAAGACACACATAATTTATAGCATTAAGTTTTCTGTTGTTACCTCTCGTCGAATATTGCACTATACATTCACACTGCTAGTTAAATGATTAACATATATTGTTCGAATCTACACAAATGTTTACTTTACAATTCAATGTCCATTGTTTATGGAGAAGTATAAAAAAACAAGCATATAGTTGTATTTGATGTTTAATAAGAGTTGAACAGTCTTCGATCTTAACAGAAATATTTGTATAAAATATTAAAACATTACATATTGACACTTAATACACAAAGTATCACAAAACAGATCGATTGAATAACAGATAGTTGGAAAGCACCCATTGTTTGCATCTTGAATCATCTGAAAATTAACACAAGAAAAAAAAATCACCATTTCCTCACTATTAAAGCAATGCGGTATTAGTTTTTGTCTATAATAAATATGTAAACGAAGAAAGTGGTGGGCGCAGTTAAAATATGTAAACTAGAAATATATATGTTAAAAAACTGACACTCTTATATTAATAATAACTTCAGTATCAACTCATATTTTTTTTGCAATATAAAAGACGTCATAAGACTTTCATAAACGGGTTGTTTATCTAATAACAATGAAAAATTGTTAATACATTTATAATACATAAAAATGCGGGAGCAACTTGAGTATTTAAATTGTATACAAAAAATAATATCGCCCTACCTAACAATGGTAAAATCGACTAACACTTCGGAGCATTTATTAAGAAAAACCTGTACAAATTTAGATATAGGAAGAATTTGAAGCAATTAATTATCATCACATACTATATTAAAATAAATTTTACAGACAGATGAATTCACTTTTTGTGCTTATAAAAACTGTAGGGTTAATTGCAATGTGTAGTTTTTTTCTGGTAGAACAAGACCTCATGTGATCAATTGTGCATTATTTCAGGAACGAGTGGCTGACGTGACTCAAACTGAAGGCGGTGATGATCAAGTGGATCGAAGTCAGTGCCCTTAACCACTCGATCACGGAGATCCTGCTCGATTAACACTATTGGCTTTTTTGCAGTACAACGTTATCTGAATCACACAGTTGGGAAGAATTTAAAAGTATAATGAAAGCTATTGTTTACCTTTTTCGCTAAAGTTGTAATTGTCAACAAATAAACACTAATAGATTTAAAACAAATTACAATTGGTTTGTGAATAGATAAAGAAAATATCTGTTAAAAATACAAGTATAACATATTACAGTGATACATATACAACAATAAAACTTACACCAATAACATGGATTTCTTCATAATTTTATCACAGATAAAGCAAGCATCCACAAGTTTCAATAATTTGAAGCACAAACCCTATTTACGACGCTACTGAATATCAATCATAACGTGAAAAAAAGTGATAGTATTAAGACATAATTACGTACATTTACTGTTAAGACTACACGGGAAAATCACATAAGTGTTGAATTTTCTTCTGTCTAAACGCAAATAAAAACTAATTCAAAATCAATATTTCTTTAACCGTCTCAAATCTCCTTTGGTGTCTATTTGTTTATCACAGAGTCATGCTTTGAAAGTAATGTTCTACAGTAGCTGAAATTTAACAAATATGTGTAAAGACAAATCGATCGTTACATCACTTTAATTCACAACCGTTCCACGGTGAACGAGTTGGGACTCGTATGGTTTGCAATGTCATTTTGCAACACAATATCAGACAGTATCTGAAAACACAACTCACTTCTTATATCCACATCTGTAAACAAACAAAAATGTATTGACATAACATAATCTTTCAAAGATTTACACATTGCCCCAATGTTAATTTTTAATATCATCTTATTTCAATTAATGAATGTTCCTGGATAACAATAATTTATCCTTGAATGACTGTTATGTGCTCAGGGTGCGTTACACTAGCACACATTTCGGTTTATGTCAGCTGTGCGGCTTGACAGTTTCTTGTTCGCGTTCATCAACCTGTGCTTTATCCATGCTCTTTGCCAGTTTTTCCCAATTGTCTCTATTTCTCTGACATCCATCCAGCAGCGGTTGCAAATTAGGTGATACTTTGACAATTGCCTAAAAAAGACATGTCGGCATCAATATCATTTCATATTTATTTATCCGGTGAAACTTTTTTTTTTCATTTAGACATACAATGCTTTGTGGTTTTGAAACATAGAAAATAGGGGGGAGAATGCCCCTGAAGATCATAACTTAATAATGCTAACCATATTCATTGAATCGAATCTCTTTTACCGGCCTGTAAGATTTTCAATATTGAAGTATTGGATGTTCTATTTAGTTTCCATTTTCTTTTTGAAATGTTATCTTTAATTTTACGAATATGTTAAAAAAAAGTACCTTATATATGGGCAAGCATATAGCATCAATAAAACTGACTTGCATAACCGGTAGTTTGTCCTTCTGATCTCTATCCATCATTTCCTAAGAAAACACCAAAGGTAACATAAATGAAAACTACAAACAAAACGCTTGTTGCAAAGTCAACCTTTCGTTTAGAACAACACAATAATCCTAATCATGTACAACCCTAGTATTTACAAAAACAATTATTTATAAGCAAAAGCTATCATTAGAAATTAATAATTAATGCATTATTAAACTTGGCTTTTGATATATTTTTGGTTGCATTTAACGTCGCAAGAACACAGTATAGGTCAAATGGTGATTTTTTTTTTGGCTTAACTGTCCGAGGAAGACCTCAGGCACCCCTCTGTACATTATCATTATTTCTGGTGCAAACACAGACGGGCACCATAGCAGAACCACGTGCGTTTCGTAAGCTAGCAGGATTGTTTTGTCACATGTAGAGTCCGACGACATTTGCGCGGTTCGGCCCTACAGGGGTGAGAGGCAGGTTTGAAGTCAACGACCGAAACCACTCGGCCACGCCCCTCTTTAGATATAAAGAAAATACATCAAATAGATAACATACGTACTATTGGTTTAATTTTCAACTGTGTTTTCTCTAAATCACCTTGCTCAAAGAATTCACTGGCAATAAGATCTGCAACCTGAAATACAAAATATAGATTTTCCTTATGTTAATAAATATGTTTACTTTGAACTTTGTCAGGACAGTTTCATTTATTTGAATGTTTTTGGACATCCACCTAGCACTGTGTCATCAAATTATCATCAATGGGCCTCTGATTTATTGTTAATTACCATTAAGCCTGCTATGTTTATAGCCAGTGGCAACTGGATCTACGCATGCAGTACAAACCAGGATTTACCGGCACAACCGTGCTGTCGGGCCATGGTTTGCATGTTCGTTATTCACTTAAGAAACATCTGACGCTACTTAGCGTGGTAAGAGTTAAAAGAAATATTTGTTCAGCTTTTCTTTACAAGATTTAGAATTCAATTATTTAAAACGGATTGACAACATACATATCAATTTCACATATTTCAAAGTGAGAACTGAATTGATGTTAAGTACAGTTAAATAATAAATAGACAGAATAAAGCTTGAACATTTAACGGCTCTAAAAACTTGCAACCATGTAGAGCATATCTGTATGGCTAAGTAACGGATTTGTCTTAAAAATATTAGATATACATTTAATTATCCTTTCCTTATACCTTAAAATGATTTGCGTTTAAACCTTTGATTGTATTCCCTCAATCATATAGTAAAACATTGACACAATTTAATATTTGTAATGTTATTACAAATTAACAGAAAACTGCAAGTGCATTTCAAAGTTTATTTATCAAAGACTCTAAAATAATTCCATGTGCATAAACTGACTTTATAAAACAGACAATGATATTTATATGTCAAGTATATACCCTCTTCTGAACCTCCCATGGTTTTGTGATAGCAGAAACATCAGACGCTGTCATCATCATAGATCTCAATAGGTCACGATGTTCATCCGTATCCCAATCCGTTGTCTCGTCTTCAACAAGCCGGAAGAACTCACCTCTATGTCTAATTTATAAACATATTTATGAAATTATAAATGCAACTTAAATATATCATTTAGGATAACTGGCATATGTCCTTCACATATGTTTTTAGAGATCATAACTTTAATTCGTTTAATTCGTTGACGCATCATCCGAACTGAAACCATTAATTCTAGATTAATGAAATAAGGACACTCTATCCGAAAAAGTAAGATGCATTGACGACTCGATGTTTATGTGATATGAAATAATGATGTATATTTACTTACTTAAAATATAATGCCAGATCTGTTGAGAGTATTGCACATTCAAGTAGACCAATAACCGATTCATATTCTTCCTGAGATAATCCCGATAATATTTCATTGCCCTGAAGAAAAAAACAACATTAATGAGCCCCGCCATGACAAAACCAACATAGTGCGTTTGAGACCAGCATGGACCAAGACCAGTCTGCGCATCCGCGAAGTCTGATCAGGGTCCATGCTTTTCGCTTACAAACCCTATTTTAAGTACAGAAACTGATATAAAAACAGCGTGGATCCTAATCAGACTGCGCGGATCCTGATCAGACTGTCTGGATCCATGCTGGTCGCAAACGCACATGTTCATCTTTTACTGTTTAGAACACGGAGCGTTTTTTTCACAATGCGATCATTAACTGTATGCTTTATTTGCATTACAATATCACGGTATAGAACAATAATTAACACAACTTACCTCCGTACTTAATATCATGATACACTGGTCAAAATGATGGTGTTCTAAGGTTGAGGTAGAGTAAAGTTCCGCCAACGCAGACATTGTTCTGAAAATACATATCTGATCTTGTACAACATCAAAGAGATATTTACCGAACATTAAAATAACACCGAATACGTACAATGACTACTTATGATGAAAAATGACTGTGAAATACTCGTATTATATAATATCTTAATTATAAATGCATGGAAAATACTGTTTAGTGCTTGCAAAAAGTGAGGATTAAGAGTGCAAAATATTGCAAAAAAATCTATGTCAAGCAATTAGTAATTTTACATGTTACATGTTATAAAAATCAATTTAAGCTTGGAAAAGTATACGGTTATGCATTATGCCATTTCTTTAAAACATGCTTTAATATCCATTCCATCGAGTTAACACTTCATTTTAAACTGAAACAAGTACCTGTGTTTGCCCTTGGCCAAGAAATCATATTGCCAAAATGGTTTACCCATTCAGTCAGTTATGATTTGGGACATTTCAAATGTAAATTTATTACGATATGATATCCAATAAAAGTATATGTAATGTACATTAACATCTCACCCAATGACGCCTTACCCCACGATAAATGGGATACTCCAAGATATAACCTATTAAATATGCAACACATCAGTCAACAATTCAAGGCTGTTTGACAAAAGTGTAAACATCTTGTTGATAACCAGTGACGTTACCCACTGACCCTAATTCCGTTACAACGTCGAGGATAAGTCAAGTTATGGTTGACATAAGGAAGGATTGTTAAATTACAATAAGCTAGGGGGCATAAATACTGAATAAATGAAGCACTTACTTGATTTGAAATTGATTATTTGTGCCTCTGTGGTCAAGGTCATGGCATAGACATCCGACAACAAGAGCAAGACTTTCTACGTCGCTCAAAACGTTCCCTAGTTGACCTTTCTAATATGCAAATATAAGAAAAATATCATCTTTCTTGATTTTCATATTTAATCTGACAACGAAAATATATTATTAATAGACATCCATTAATGAAAATGATATATTTCATTTATAAATGACCTGTTTATTTCCCAGTATATGATTTGATATCCGAACAATTGTCTTATATTTTCTTAACGAACGCTTTTGTTTAAATGATACATATTTATCGTTTGGATTATGAAAGAACACATTCATACAAGGACCTGGCCATTCAAAAGTTACTCGTATTTTAAGTTAATCAGGATAAGCAAGTAATTAGGAAAAAAACGATACTCACTTTGAGGCAACAGAACATGGTTTGTGCTACATTAAATGCGTGTCGCCAATTGTGATATGTAACATTTCGATAATTCTTTTTCACAGATAATAACCATCTGCATAGAGTCTGAAAACATAAATGTATACATTGTGTTTGACGTAAATATTGCTGAACTAAATCCTACCAAATTTTGTTGAGTTCAATGTAATAATTATATTGTTTATTAAGCGAGAAAGTTTAAGAAAATATAGATCGATTTGTTGTTATTTTTACATTCTCATATGTATTAGGTTTATATGTTAATATGTATAAGCAGTGATTTTCATTTAATTAAAACATTTATTTTAATTAAGTTGATATTTATAAACAAGAGGGCCATGATGGCCCTGAGGTCGCTCACCTGTATATAGCCCCCCCCCCCCCGGCCCAATTTTACCCAAGTACTTTTATTTGTTTATTTGAACAGACTTGGTAGACACCCATAAGAAGATGTTTCATGCAAAACATCTAAGTTCTAGCTCATTAGGTTTTTTAAAAGAAGATTTTTTAAGTTTTTACTATACACATATAGTTAAAAACAATGACACCCCTCGGGCAGGGCCAGTTTTGACCCCTGGGCTTTTATTTGAACAAACTTTGTAGATATTTACTTAAAGATGTTTCATGCTTAATATCTAAACTCTAGCTATTTGGGTTTTTTCAAAGAAGATTTTTAAGTTTTTGCTATACACATATAAGGAAAATCAATGACCCCCGGGCGGGGCCAGTTTTGACCCCAGGGCTTTTATTTGAACATACTTGGTAGACACCCATTAGAACATGTCTCATGCTAAATATCTTAGCTCTAGCTCTTTGGGTTCTTTAAAAGAAGAATTTTTAAGTTTTTACTATATGCATATAGGGAAAATCAATGACCCCCTGGGGCGGGGCCAATTTTGACCCCAGGGCTTTTATTTGAACAAACTTGGTAGACATTAACTAGAAGATGTTTCATGCCAAATATCTAAGCTTTAGCTCTTACAGTTCTTTAAAAGAAGATTTTTTAAGTTTTTACTATATGCATATAGGTCAAATCAATGTCCCCCCGGGCCGGGCCAATTTAGACCCCAGGGCTTTTATTTGAACAAACTTGGTAGACATTCACTAGAAGATGTTTCATGCCAAATATCTTAGCTCTAGCGCTTTCAGTTCTTTAAAAGAAGATTTTTTAAGTTTTTACTATATGCATTTAGGGAAAATAAATGACCCCCTGGGGCGGGGCCAAATTTGGACCCCAGGGCTTTTATTTGAACAAACTTGGTAGACATTCACTAGAAGATGTTTCATGCCAAATATCTAAGCTCTAGCTCTTACAGTTCTTTAAAAGAAGATTTTTTAAGTTTTTACTATATGCATATAGGAAAAATCAATGACCCCCTGGGGCGGGGCCAATTTTGACCCCAGGGCTTTTATTTGAACAAACTTGGTAGACATTCACTATAAGATGTTTTATGCCAAATATCTAAGCTCTTGCTGTGACGGTTCTTTAAAAGAAGATTTTTTAAGTTTTTACTATATGCATATAGGGAAAATCAATGACCCCCTGGGGCGGGGCCAATTTAGTCCCCATGGCTTTTATTTGAACAAACTTGGTAGACATTCACTAGAAGATGTTTCATGCCAAATATCTAAGCTCTAGCTCTTACAGTTCTTTAAAAGAAGATTTTTTAAGTTTTTACTATATGCATATAGGGCAAATCAATGACCCCCCGGGGCCGGGCCAATTTAGACCCCAGGGCTTTTATTTGAACAAACTTGGTAGACATTCACTAGAAGATGTTTCATGCCAAATATCTTAGCTCTAGCGCTTTCAGTTCTTTAAAAGAAGATTTTTTAAGTTTTTACTATATGCATTTAGGGAAAATAAATGACCCCCTGGGGCGGGGCCAAATTTGGACCCCAGGGCTTTTATTTGAACAAACTTGGTAGACATTCACTAGAAGATGTTTCATGCCAAATATCTAAGCTCTAGCTCTTACAGTTCTTTAAAAGAAGATTTTTTAAGTTTTTACTATATGCATATAGGAAAAATCAATGACCCCCTGGGGCGGGGCCAATTTTGACCCCAGGGCTTTTATTTGAACAAACTTGGTAGACATTCACTATAAGATGTTTTATGCCAAATATCTAAGCTCTTGCTGTGACGGTTCTTTAAAAGAAGATTTTTTAAGTTTTTACTATATGCATATAGGGAAAATCAATGACCCCCCAGGGCGGGGCCAATTTTGACCCCAGGGCTTTTATTTGAACAAACTTGGTAGACATTCACTAGAAGATGTTTTATGCCAAATATCTAAGCTCTAGCTCTTTGGGTTCTTTAAAAGAAGATTTTTAAGTTTTTACTATATGCATATAGGGAAAATCAATGACCCCCTGGGGCGGGGCCAATTTTGACCCCTGGGCTTTTATTTGAACAAACTTGGTAGACATTCACTAGAAGATGTTTCATGCCAAATATCTAAGCTCTAGCTCTTAAAGTTCATTAAAAGAAGATTTTTTAAGTTTTTACTATATGCATATAGGGAAAATCAATGACCCCCTGGGGCGGGGCCAATTTTGACCCCAGGGCTTTTATTTGAACAAACTTGGTAGACACTCACTAGAAGATGTTCCATGCCAAATATCTTAGCTCTAGCTCTTACGGTTCTTTAAAAGAAGATTCTTTAAGTTTTTACTATATGCATATAGGGAAAATCTATGACCCCTCGGGGCGGGGCCAATTTTGACCCCAGGGCTTTTATTTGAACAAACTTGGTAGACACTCATTAGAAGATGTTTCATGCCAAATATCTAAGCTCTAGCTCTTAGGGTTGTTTAAAAGAAGATATTTAAAGATTTTTCTTTCGGTTGCCATGGCAACCAGAGTTCTGCATGGAATTAAATTCTTTGAACAATTTTTAAAGGTGACCACCAAAGGAACATTCCTGTGAAGTTTGGATGAAATTGGCTCAGTGGTTTATGAGGAGATGTCATTTAAAGCAAAAGTTTACGGACGGACGACGGACGGACGACGGACGGACGGACGCCGGACGAAAAGCGATCACAAAAGCTCACCCTGTCACTTTGTGACAGGTGAGCTAAAAAGTAGTGAATGTTTCTCATTTAACTCTATAATAAATGAACAACGCATAATTCTAAGACAGTACGTGAGTATTGAGTGCATTAATGCTGCGCAGTTATATTAATTTCTCAGCGTACGTGTCCGGATTCATGACTAGAAATATAGTAGCGCCAACTTGGCTCGTAAATATGAGACAACATAATATTTTGATAGAATTGAAATAAAACTTATTACTCCCTTACATTTATTAAGTGAAGTGTTTGGATGAAAAGCAGTATAAAACACTTCATGCTACACCGTCGTAATTTATCCATGTCATCAGGACTCCGCCCTTTCGGTTAACATAAAGGTGAGACAACTTAATATTCTATATGATTATATCAAATGCGAGCGAAAAGCACAATACATTAATACAATTTAGCATACATACATCATAATTTATTCTGAACCTCTCTAGAAGGTCAAGGTCTATGAACATACGAATGCTAGCTCGTATAGTATCGTCGTCGTCTAATGCCAAGTCATTAAAATCGTAGTCAAGCAAACGGTAGTCCTGGCAGGTGGGTATAACGGAATTCTGAAAAAACATAACAAATATGTCGTTCTGAAATACTAACAAAAAGTAACAATGCATTGTTCTATGTGTAAATAAAAATAATTACATTCAGTTTAAAAGGTATAAGCTATAAAATATCCCTTTTTCTGTGTGATTGATAATAAACAGAAATATAAAGCTGGTCACATTTAACGTGAAAATTTGCCTAACAAATATTTATGCATCCACACAAGTGTCAATGTCATAATTGAAGTTATTTACTATTATCGCAAACTCATGAAACAGAATTAACAAAGGTCATCATGAGCTTTACCTCTAACCTTCTGACCATAAATAAGTTTGGTAGACTCAAACACACACATGGTTTGAAGTTCCTGTATGAATGCACTTTGATTAAATAGCCAGCCGGTTTTATGTTTTTTTTTAAATAATACAGGTTTCAATGTGCTTGATGTTTTAACCTTAAAATGGTTGTGATAGATAGTATACGCTAATGTTCATGTGAGCGCTATATCAATGAAGAGTATTTCAGTACATCCTTATTTTATATGCAACATCGATTAAGGTCTTTACTGACAATGACAGTAATAACCCACATTTTTCCCTACAGAGCCGGGTCATCCATGCAGTATGGACATCTGTGTCTTGAATTTATTTAAATAATGACATCTCTTAAAAGTTGTAAATCAAAATTCAACACCCGTAGAACTGATAGATATGTTTACCTTAACTTTTGCACATTCGTCCGACGGTGCTGATACGTGATAGGATAACACTTCTATAGCTACCCGTTGTTTTGCACTGGCCCTTACTGCAGTTTCATACATATGAGTATTATAAATTCCCATTCCACAAAATATTGCAAATGCCTGCAAAAATAACAGAATAATTATGACAAAAAAGAAATCATCTTTATCATACAAATCTGCCACCAATAACAAGCGTGAAAGCTTATTTTGAAAAGTCTTTACGATGAAATCATTATTCGAACCCTTTTTAAAGACGGCATGCTATGTTCATAAACATACTAAATTTTCCAAACTTTCTGCCATCATAACATATTATATGGATAACAGTTAATAGTGAAAATCTGTTTATATATTTTCTCGGCTGTAAACCGTTTGCTTTCACAGTCTCTTCCGGTACAATTATTGCAAGACGGGTTATATCATTTCATGATGACAGAATATATGATGGATATTGAAAATTAAATAAGTGTTATGTTGCGAGCCCGCCCGACAAAGATATAGAAAGGAATATACTGATGACAATAAGTTCGTGTTTCATTTGTAATGCTTCATTATGGAGGTTTGTTAATGGCATTTAGGTTGATATAAAAGCAGAAAAATGCATGTTTTCCCATTCCTTATTCCTATATAGATTGCAATTTTATTTGTTATCCTCTTAAACGGAAGCTATTCGTTGTCAACAGATGGAACTAGGCAAGTGTGGATTTTTCAAAGCTACTCCCCCAGGTACAAACAAACTTTTACCGTGTTATAGCTGCACGGTGCACCATCGGTCACAATAGATAAGTCAATCTGTTGCGCTTAATTTCGAAGCTATAACTGTTAAAAAGTTTGTTTGTACCCCCGGATTAGCTGGTATTCTTAATTCCAAAGTAAGTCTATACTGGGCCTACGACGCAAGTCTCACTGCAGAAACTATAAGTGACGAGTATGCTTATTTCCTTCGAGTTGAATAAGCTTTATATTTAAAAAGATTGACATTGTAAAAATGGTGATTAGCAAACAAAAATTGATAACGACAAAGACAAAACTGTAAAAAATATTTGAAATATAAAAAAGAATAAACTACTGTTTTACAATTTGATGCGTAAAATTTTAATTTTTAGATTACCTTGGATTATGTAGTTTTAAGAAATAGTTTTGCGTATTAAAGTATAAAATTGAAAACAATTATGGCAAAATGTTAAATTGCAATTTACACTTAGTATAATGTCACTACAACTGAGTAAACTGAATAAATAGTTTGTGTGTTACGCAAAGAACACTCAGCAATTATCCAGCAACAGTTTTACCAGGTTAACTATGACAGAATAGAATATATATTCAAATAATACTTCTTGTTTTATAAATTCTGTTTGAACATTTTCATTATACCTCAAAGAGATTCTCATCGTTTTTAGTGAAAGGTGTTCCGTCTTTTTTATTTATGAGTTGACTAACGCCCATCACACGACCCTCTGCATTCTTGATCGGCATACATAGAATTGACTTTGTTTTGAAACCTGTCTGCACATCCGCCTTAAATAACACAGATAACACTAATAAGTTATTATGTCATAAAAGTAAATAGAATATTCTATATAACATGATCTTATTGTTACATGTAATTAGTTTGCTTCGCAAAAAGAAAAGAATGATAACTTGAGTTTTGTTGGAACTTTTTTCAAATGAATTCAAAAGATAAAAACAAATACAATTGCGTATGAAGTTTCTTTGTTCTTGTTAGGAATCCATATTATAACATAGAAGAAAGATCGTCTGCAGACATGCATCCGTTAGACAAAGATAATTGCAATTACTGATAAAAGTGCTTGTGTGGCGGCCTCAATTCACACGAATTACGACGTGACAAAAGCATATGTAATAAAGAAATATTACCGTTGGATCAAATCTCTGGTCTTTGTAAGCATCTGGTATATTCAACGGCTGAAACAAAAAACATTGTATTTATGAAAATACAAGTACAAAACATGCTCATCGATTTTCCTGAAAGTGATACAGACATTGTAAAGGTCATCTGACCACTTTGCAGGGGAATAAAACAAGAACAGGATGACATAAAACAGCATAATAATCAAACGATGAGAGCAAGCGTACGAGCATGCCAATCCCGTAATGAGAAAGTGAAACTTTAAACAATAACATATATTTTGTTAATTTGACGTAACATTTTTTTTGAAAATGAATACAGACAAACATTTTAGGACCGTGTCCTTGCAGTTTGTACCATCAATACAATAAAAGCGATATTAGGCTTCTCTTCTGAGACAACTTATTATTCTACAACGGCTAAAGTGTAATATTGTTTTATATTTTCAATAATATGTAAATAATTTGACGTAAAAATCTACAGCATAAACAAATTAATCAAACCTCGCCAGTTGATGCCACATGTCCCGTAATTCCGATTTGTATAGGAAATCGAGGTTCCGTTGGTCTGGAAAAAAAGGAAAAAACTAATTTCAAAAATTTATTTTTTTGCAATTTATATATTTTATAAACATTTTAAAATAATCTTAATGTCATGATTTTTCCTTATCGTAATAGAATCGAGGCGTTCCATTAGCTGATAACAAAATCTTATTCTTCTATCAGAAATGTTTTATAGATTTGAATTTCTCGTTGGCTCGGACCTGTCAAAATATATTATTTTACACACAAACCACGCACTTAGTCGGATTAGATATCTGGCAGTTTAAATAATAGGCGCTTGTCAGAACACAATATGAAGCACTTTAGTAATAAACGGTAATGATTAAATAAGATTTGAACATTTGATGTAAATGACCTTAATACTTGTAAACATTTAACTGTTACAGTGTAAGAACTATTCTCAGTTTAGAAATAAATACAAAAAGTTGTTGCAGTGAACAATGTATTCGTAGGAGCATTGTTATAGTAACATTAGATATGTGTTAGTCAATAATTTTAATCTTCATCATATTAACATTTAATACGAACTTCAGACATAACATTATACAGTATGTCTGAACAATAGTGACAGATCAAGACAATGAAAGCAAAACGGAATGTTCAAGGGAAAATGAATATTAACATGACTTTATCGTTGTATCCTTCTATAATGAAACATTCATTTATTGTTTTTGAATAGTTAATCAATATATATTAATAAAAGATGCCAAGACTTATAGGAATGTGCAATATTGAACTTTCAAATGTGCATGTTATGTTGTTCAAATATCAATTATGTCTTAGTGTCATCCAATGTTGTGTTATTAATCCTGTTTGAAATAACTTAAATCATTTTAATACAAATATTTAAGTATGGTAATACAATGCAACACTCATTTTACTTTAGCTGATATGCAGATATGCACAAATAATAAGAATGTGCGAAAACATTTAAATTAGATACAATATTAATGAGAAATACATAAATGTGCAAAATTGAAGAAAAGAATGTACTTACTAAATCTTTAAAAAACAAAAATCTTATAAAATGTTCTTATAGAGATTTCAATAACTTTACTAACATTTAAATAATGATGTACTTATTTGACCTAAACTTTAACTCGTATATTTTAAACGTGTGATGACTCTCAGTAGATTAATCGTGAGGATTATTACATAAAAATCGTTTTAATACAGCAAAACGCCGTACGTATGACAACCGATATAGCAAAAACATAGTGTGCTGAAAGTACTTTCAAATCACACATGTGCTCTGTTATAAAACAGTATTAAAAACAAAAACAGATTAGAGACTGGAGGAGCGGAATGCGAATATAATAAGAATAAAAGAAAAATGTTGCACAAATACATGGATATTATTATCATCCGATAAAAAAGAACTACCTGAATGTCCGAATTGTTATGTTAGGACTGTAACAAAATATCAGTTTAATTGATTCGTTTTTTCATCATACAACATATGAATAATCTACAACAATTAGAACAAACTAAAACAGCGAACAGAAACATGGAATGTGAGCTGACGATGAATCATATGAGCCGTGTCACGACAAAACCAACGTAATGCGTTTGCGACCAGCATGGATCCAGACCAGCCTGCGCCTCCGCGCAGTCTGATCAGGATCCATGCTGTTCACTATTAGTTTCTCTAAATCATATCAAAATTGAAGGACATTGTGTGTAATTAATTCGAATGACTTGTAAAGGGCGACGATTTATGTCCTTTACTTTTATACATTTAGGTGATAAAACCTAATTTATGCAATTTGGAATGCCATGTTTTGACTGTAAATTATCTTTACAGAAATGCTTGACATTACAGAAATCATAATACATGTAAATGTACCTTATCCCATACAATTCCAGAATGGATCATATTACTGAGGACTGTTCTTTTATCTTTTCTTAATTTTAAACATAACGTATGTAGACTTGAAACATATAAGAGACAAACGTAACGTATGTAAACTTGAAACATATAAGAGACAAACACGTTAGATACTAGTACATACCCTTCTCGTGTGTACGTCTCACTGTTATCAAAATCATCAGTTGCAAGATCGTATACCTGAGAAAAAATACCCTGAAAGCAAACAAGATAAAGTCAGCTTTTTTCTCTCATTATTTCCGCCCTATTTACGTGTTGTTTATTGTAAAGAATGAATTTTGATGAGAAAAAAAAGAGCACATTATTACAATATTTCTATTTTTATTGCATTTGTTCTTACCATCTAGAAAAGAAATGTAAGCCAGATCAATGTTGAATTATTTTCTCACAGTAATAAATGTCAATAGAAAATCATAGTTAGTTTGCCAAACACATCAAATACTTAATAACCAATGAACATCTCAGCGTCTTGAATAAAGATAAACATCAAAGCGGCTACAACGTCACAAACCGTAATTAAGGATGCAGTAAATATTTTATAAGCCAGTCAAAGAGCATTCATTTAAGTCTTATATTTCCTGTATAACCTCTCTGAAATAGGAAATAAGCAGGGCTGAGTTCTTGTCAAAGTAACCTGTGTTTTTATTAATATCTAGCAGATTATATAAAACATGTATGTTAACAATATACATTTCCTAATTATAAGGTCATTTTGATTATTAATTCTATTAGAAAAAAAGCACAAAAAATGGAATTACATGGTTAGACGATTGATTTGAGGTATAATAAAGATTAAAATATCAAAGCTCTTCAATAACTAGGTGTATATTATATAATGATTATGTATTTAATACAAATACTTGGAAATGATGCGTTGCAGGTAAAGCAATGGAAAGTGATGAACTCATAGGACTTTGGGGTTTAAAAAGGTTTGGGAGAATTGATCTTTTTGAGAGTGCCTGATACCTTATACTCAAAAACTCAAACTGGCATACCATACTGTGATATACATAATTGTATATATAACCAAGTTTGTGTTGTAAGCATGTAAGAGAAGACGCAATGTATTTCTGATAATTATTTTTTAACAAATATTTATTTAGATTCAATGATGCATTGATAAAATGAACAAACAGTAATGTTGTTTGAATATTGTTAGATGATGCTAAGCTGTGCAATAGGAGAGACGTTGATTTTGGTAACGGTAGTTCTATGGACAAGTGCCCCATCATTCTGGGAATTTATTGTTCTTAAAAAAGATTATCTGTTGAAAACAAATCCTATGATGATGGCTAATTATAATTTACATTGAAATTAGTTGACAACTCTTATGTTAAATCATTCTATACACGCTCTTTTAACAAAACAAATAAACACTCTAAACACTCTTGATTGGCAAACTACGTTAGCGTGTCATTTTTTTTGCGATGTTTGAATATGTCTACTTTTTATAACAAAATAATGAGTTTAACGTTTAATTCATTAAAACTCAAACAAAAAAAAACCGCGATTTCTATAAACAAATCACTATAACTATTTTTTACTAAATCTATCAGAACGAAATGTGTTAATCATCTACTACATGTAACAAAAAATGAAAACTAAATAAAAACTGCAAGTTCACCTATTAAGATTTAACTACTGACACACAGATGCCTGGATAACAAGAGCATCCTTGCATATTTTACTTAAAAAAAGAATGAAACCATAGACAATAGTTTCCGCTTTCATATATTTCTCGATTGCCCATAAAGTCAGCATCCTTTTAACAGCTTTAACAAAAACCTAAAACCCTTTACAGCTTAAAGGAAGATATCTGAGCACGTCGTTATGTGTTTTCGGAAGGGATTAACATAAATTAGAGTTATAATTCTATGTGTATTAGAGATGTATGTGCATGTTAGAGGATTTATGAACGGAGGACATATACCACTATAAACAATCACCGTTTTAGAGGCTCTCCTTGGCTTACGCTTATTATTCTGAAAAATGCATTAATATATATACATATATAAACTTGTTATACGTTCTATAAAAAGGTTATGCCTACAACTACAATATATGACCGACTTAACATTCATATTTGTGAACACAGTATACTAAATATCTGGAGAAAGGGTGATGCCTCGGATGTTTTAATCACAGTAAAATTACATGACAATGGAATAAGACAATATTTTCTATAATCCGAGCGAAAAGGTATAAATATGTTTGCCAAAGGACGCTCCTTAAGATATTAAAATGTGAACAAACCAATACCAATTTATTAAGAGACTAAAAACAGAAAGAAACTGGATATTTCCCAGAAAAGAAAAACTGTCTTATTCATTTAATATTGGTTTGTAAATTGTCTCGATTGTTTAATATCGGCTATGTTTAAGCGTTTTACATGAAACTTCTATTTATTGGCATCGGAGTGGCTTCGATATATGCAATACTAGAGCTATATTTGAAAGCAATAACACTTAATGGTGTCATTTATCTTTCTCATTTATGGCAGCTGGTCCCATGTGGTGTTTGTATTGATGAGAATCATCTTATACAAGGACGAAAGCTTCTAACAGATACAATCTTTATATAATTATGTTGTGTATATTTTATACAGACTTTTCAAGAACATCATTCCATACAAAAACACCACTTACTGTTAAATTATTAAAGAAAATAAAAGAAAGTTATCTTTTGTCGAAGGCCATCGTCAAGTTATGTGTTATATTTCCATAAATCATTTTATTTTTCTTCCTAACACTTTTTATTAAACACGGTTGGCTGCGTTGCAAACAAATTTTTATAGATCGTTAAAGTTCATAAATTGCAAAAAAAATGTTTTAATGTAATTTGCAATACTTATGTTAAATGTTGACAAAAAATAAAAAAAAATAAAATGCCATTACTGAAGCAAAACAAAATATAAAACAAAGACAGTCCAAGTATTTTACAAAATCTGTCATTATTATTTTTTTACCACAGACTGGCACGATTTTTTAAAGATACTTTCATTCGATGTATGACTTCTTATGGATGACAACATTGTAAATTTAATTCATAAAAAATGATACTAAAAACTCCTTGATTGATATGGAAGAAAGGTCATGTGCCTGTTTACAGTAATATTCCATAGTGTCGGGATAATTTTAAGCTATGCATGACCACAATAAAAGATTGCATGCATTTACAATAGAAAGGGTTAACAAAAGTATTCTTCAATCTAGTTTGGCTGCATAATGTATAACTTTTAGAAATCAATATTTTGAACCCAAATGGACAACTATTTAGAAATAAATTACCTCAGCACTCTTTTTCATTATCCCAAACTAATCATTTTCGAAATAATGTCAAGTTAACCCTGATTCTATAACAACCACAAATCTAAGCCATGATACATGTTATTTATATATTGTATTATCATCTCCTATTTTCAAATTAAGATATAAAGGATATTCAACTTTTGCCATAAAAAAGGATTTACTATCATCTAGTGGTATGAAATGTGATAATTTACAAGCCACGAGATGATAATAATTCCCGAATTTATAAAACAAAAAATAGATTTTATGTTTATCATATACTTTTTTAACTTTTGATTCAAAAGTTTTGTGTTTTGGCTGAATTTAAAAGAAAGTCGTGTTGCAAGACAACAGTAAAAATACGGAAATTATGTTTCACTGCAGTGAAAACTATTCTTTTTACAGTGAAAATACGGAAAATGAAAATATGCATTTTGCTTCATCAATATTTCTCAATATATTGTCTTGTGATGAAAATATCGAAGTTTATACAGTATTTCCGTACATAAAACTCATATTATTATAATTTCAATCTACAATATGTATCATACATTTTAAGCAGTGCAGTGTAAATATTGATGAAAAATAATAACTACCGAAGTCTAAAGATACAATAATATTCTATATATTACAATACCTTGCTTGATTCATCAATCAACATGACCTGACACCTCTCACACTGTAGCAATGACTGTGTATGCATCATAATCTTCTGTATAAGGTTAGCAACATTACTCTGTTCTTCAAATATGACACGAGCAAGGTCTAACAAAACCTGTAAAATATTAAGCCTTTCAACATTTCCATGAACCAATGGATATAATTTTAAAGTGCTCTATAAATGTAATTTTCTAGGTCATGAACAAACTCAATGTTCTGAGAATGTTAACATTTAAAACTACTACACATTGTAGTTTGAGCGATTTTTTTAAAATAAAATGTCATCCGAGATAAAATTTCAACACAGGCTTGTACATTTATATGGAACTAGATGGTTGATACAAGTATTGTCGGACGAAATCTAAGTAAAGGATTTGCATTGTTTACCCTACTGTAATTTTAAACTGTTGCAACGTTTAATTTGTAAATATTGACTTACATAAAAACACAACCATTAACTGAATGCAAGTAGATCAGTTGGTGAGGGGTAGAACAATTGTGCGCTTGGTAAGTTTTTTTTATCATGTAATAAATTGCTACACAATATATCATAGAAAATTTTGTCTATAACAAAGAGCGAAGATTTGAAGAATATATCTTGGTACTCCGGTTTAAAACTGGCATTAATATAATAAGTTCTACCTGCATCAAACTGTTCAACACGCTACATGTTAGTATTCTTCAAGGCAAGCGAAAATTAAAAACTTGTTAAGAATACATTTTCAGAAATGTTTTGTTTGCAAGGAATGCTATAAAACCATTTCTTGACCCAAAACACCACTACAAAACAAAGCGTATTTCTTGTAACACATACAAAATATACATTGTATATATTTTTTACCTGGCTTCGTCGGTTTTCCAAGAGAGATCGTTCATAAAGTTGAGCATTTTTCAAACCAATACCACAAAAAGCTAGGTAAGAGGCAAACACCTGTAATAAACAAGCAATAAATCAAGACATGATGTTGATAAAGATAATAATTTATTGGTAGGTCACGTTTTTCTTATTTTGTATGTTGAGGTTCCTACACTTTGATATTCAGCTGTATATAAGCATGACGCCTAACGTTTTCCTCTTGCCATATTGATATTGCATATGCTTTATTGAAACGCCCCTTTGAATGATCAAAGTCATTTACATTTCTCTAAAATTATTTCTTCATTATGATCTTTAATCTATTTCATGTGTATTTTTAAGAAGAATTACATGTGAAAAAGGGCGCGTTTGCTTTATCATTATCAGGCAATATTTTGCTAATTAAAAAGGTTTGATCTTCCTATAATTTCTATCTAGCAATATATCAAATTTTATATTAATTACGTAGCTATAAAACACGTGTTAATGTTGTTTCTATGATAACAAGTAGAACAATTTAACAGACTGTCTCCAGATGTGTGCATGTTCATCTTCTTATATCAAAAATAAGATTTAAAGGTTCATTATGCCTCAGAAATGCCAATATTTTTATTTTTCAAAAATTCTATTTTTGGTATATTGTTGCAGTTTCGAAAAAAAATAATAATACTCAATTGTCATATAGATGTACTATCTTTGCTTCTTTTGCCCTGTTGGCAATTGATATAATTATAGAGAATTAATATTTTGTATAGAAGTCAAAATACTACTTTGTTAACATTTTGCTACCTTTACACATTATTGCACATTCAACGCTACTTTCTGCAGCTGTTTAACATCTAACATGCTCTTCATCAGTTATAAAACAAGAGGGCCATGATGGCCCTAGATCGCTCACCTGAATTATCAAACTCATCCAAACAATTACCTAGACAAGCATTCTGACCAAGTCTCATGACAGGTGAGTCAAAAATGTGACCACTACAGTGTTAACAAGGATTATCCATATTTGAGCAGTGCGACCTAGTTTTTTACCCAGGTGACACATATTCAAACTTGACCTAGAAATCATCAAAACAAACTTTCAGACCAATTTCCAGGATACTTGGATCAAAACAGTAGCAACTAGAGTGTTAACAAGATTTTTCTATTTTTAGCTCCGGTGACCTAGTTTCACATGCGATTTCGAACTAATCCAAGCAATTACCTAGACAAGCATCCTGACCAAGTTTGATGATAATCGAGTCGAAAATGTGACCACTAGAATGTTAACAAGGTTTTTCCATATTTGGGCGGTGTGACCTAGTTTTTCATCCAAGATGACCCATGTTTGATCTTGACTTAGAAATCATCAAAAAAAACTTTCAGACCAATTAACAGAATATTTGGATCACAACAGTAGCCACTAGAGTGTTAACAAGATTTTTCTATTTTTAGCTCATGTGACCTAGTTTTTCATCCGAGATGTCCCATGTTCGATTTATTCCAAGCAATGACCTATTCAAGTTTCCTGACCAAGTTTGATGACAATTGAGTCAAAATTGTGACCACTAGAGTGTTAACAAGGTTTTTCTATTTTTAGCTCCTGTGACCTAGTTTTTCATCCGAGATGACCCATAAAATATGATAAACAAGATCAACAAGGAAAGGCGGCGTTCAATGAACGCAACCCCCACATGACCCAGCAACAAGAACCAATGGCAAGGAGCCCAGGGGGACCCCAAACAAAAACAGGACAGGGCAAAGACAGAGCACGGACAGGTTAATCATTAAATGATAATTAATTTGTAACTGATTAGGAATTCAAAGAAAATAAAAATAGGCCCACTAAGGGGAAGGGGACAGGAGACCGGGGGAGGGGGTGGGGAGTAATCAAAGAAATAAAAACTAGAGGCAATGGGGAAGATATGTTCGAACTCATCCGAGCTATCACCTAGACAAGCATTTTGATCAAGTTTGATGATGATTGATGCAAAAATGTGACCGCTAAAGTGTTAACAAGGTTTTTCTATTTATAGCTCCGGTGACCTAGTTTTTCATCCGAGATGACCCATATTCGAACTCATCTGAGCTATTATCTAAACAAGCATCCTGACAAAGTTTGATGATGATTGGGTCAAAAATGTGACCACTAGAGTGTTCACAAGGTTTTTCTATTTTTAGCTCCTGTGACCTAGTTTTTCATCAGAGATGACCCATGTTCGAACTCATCCAAGCAATTGACTAGACAAGCATTCTGACCAAGTTTGATGAAGATTGGTTCAAAAATGTGACCACTAGAGTGTTCACAAGGTTTTTCTATTTTTAGCTCCGGTGACCTACTTTTTCATCCGAGATGACCCATGTTCGAACTCATCCGAGCTATCACCTAGACAAACATCCTGACCAAGTTTGATGATGATTGGGTCAAAAATGTGACCTCTAGAGTGTTCACAAGGTTTTTCTATTTTTAGCTCTTGTGACCTAGTTTTTCATCCGAGATGACCCATGTTCGAACTCATCCGAGCTTTCAACTAGATAAGCATCCTGACCAAGTTTGATGATGATTGAGGCAAAAATGCGACCGCTAGAGTGTTCACAAGCAATTGTGGACGGCCGGACGGACGACGGATGACGGACGACGGACATTCACCGATCCTAAAAGCTCACCCTGAGCAAGCTCAGGTGAGCTAAAAAATATTGTTTAACACATGTTTGACATTTCTAAATAATTAAATAAATATGTATTTCTAAGGCATAATGTGTCTTAAAGAATTTTACAAACCTTTTCATCATGTTCGGTAAAAGGTTGGTTTCTGTTTGTAACCTTGTTGATAGCTTGGGCAACACCTATCACTTCCCCTTCGTTGTCTTTAATTGGCATAGATAATATGCTTTGTGTTTTATACCCCATACGTATATCTATGTCAGCGTTGAAGCGAGAATCCTGAAATTTATATAAAGAAAAGATAATACGTTAATACATCATAATACTATTTTTCTCGTGTATTTACATGCACATGAGAGAAAATTATGAACATGGATTGTTTAACAGTATTCATTATGACAGGGATGATGTAAATTATTTCCATAAGATGTCTTACGCCCATGGTAATTTGTTCTTATCAAATTCTGTCGTATATTGTGTTGATCATCTATCATACTTGAAGATGTTTTAACTAGAATGTTCCATCATATATTACAAGTTATTGTGCTAGAAAGCATACTTTTATTTCATTATAATTACTTTTATTATATCATCATCATTACCATTTTTATCATTATTATTATTATCATTGTTATTATCATTTTATTATTAGAATTATCATTATTATCATCATCATCATCGTCATCATCACTATTATTATTATTATTATTATCATTATTATTATTATTATCATTATTATTATTATTATTATTATTATTATTATTATTATTCGATGCTATATACATATGGTGTTTGTGTCAAAATATTTTCTTCAAAAAACTGCTGAGTTGAGAAAGCAAACATATATAAAAATATCAATTGTCGTAAAATAGTTTTAGGACAATCAATTTTAGAAAAATATTGATATTAAAAACATAAGATCTTAATAAAGAGATAATGTATCATTTTATATGCCTATAATTATGATGTATAATTCTGACTTGATAAATATTTATCTATTGTGTACCTAAACAGGCGTTCAGTTGGTTCCATGAAAATACTGAAACATGTAACAAATATTATAACAAAGTTTAAAGCATATTGTGTGAAAAATCATCTTTGCCAATACTCCCGAATATATAAAGTGAGTAATAAATGAAATTCATAAAATTAATATTGTAAATTTAATATGCAAACTTATAGAACAGATATTTTTTTCCCACGCATAAATTACTAACTATAATATAACGAACAAGACAAACACACACAATTGCACTTGACCGTTATATGTTTCTAAATTTAGAGTCATGATCTCAAATGTTTACACATGCCCCTGTTTATTGCAATGAATAGCTTCATCAACACATATTCAAGTGTCAGTATCAATGTACTATGACGTCACTGTGGACATATATCAAACATTTACGGCACCTAGTTACTGTGTGCAAACTTTATATTCATGATTTTATTTACCTGTCCAATATTTAAATGGGTTTTCATATTGTAATAAATATTTGATTTACATTGTCAGCAATATTTGTGACATTTTCAGCGTTTGGAAGTGGCAAATTTACATAGAGAGGTAGCACAAAAGTAAACATATTGGTTTTGATATGATTACTATTCCTGGTTATTCCAGAAGCTATCAGTAATATAGAAAACACTTAACGGAACTTGCTTGATGTCCAAACATCAAAAGCAGCTTTAAAATTGATTTGTTCAAACAGAACACCTTTAGATAAACATCATTATTTGAACTGTGGAATATGCTCAATATTAGAGAGGTATATTCAGGCAAAAATAATCAGACGGAGTGATGATAGAAGCTTGTTCTCCCTTTCCACAATATATTAACGTGACTTTGTTGTACATAGAAATGTACAATGAAATTTCAATGCCATTTTAAAAAGTATCATTCCTACAAAACTATTCTCGACGGCCAAAATATATGTTCCATAAATAATATCTATTTCATTAACCACGTGATATTACATGTAAAAAACGCGTCCATTTTTGGAACATACAGTCTATAAAAGTCACATTGAATTCTAAGAAATATGTTTGAAATTATTGTGTTTATGATATCATGACCATCTCTAACATATAAAATAAAGCTAGGTTATATACATGTATATTAAATAACAGTTACAGTCCATAATTGTTGTATGATATTCACGATGACAATAATTTCAAATTATTTTGATCGGTCAATATACAAGATACAAGAAGAGCTGTGTAGAAAGTTGGTAATAACCTTGTACATATTTAACGTACCAAATTATTACGGTAGTCGGAATTATGTAACGGTTTATTGAAAATGAATTAACCATGTCTTATTAAGTTATTCTGTGTCTCTAAATGAGGTTAGTGCGTGTTATTTGAAACCGTGACTTAATCTAGGACCATGAACTGGTTATAATTGTGTATTAACGTCGCTAGTATTCTCCAATGAATACAAATTACCATAGTTTTATAGACGATGAATTAACTAATACAATTATTATTCATAATAATCTGCTGCATAAAGTTCAAATAATAGCCATTTAGTGATGTTACAAACCAATCCTTTGTGAATGACATAGCACTAAATGAGGTATATTTCAAACAATACACTGGTCACTGTATAGTTCTTTAAGTCTATTTCCATTTAATTGGTTCATTAAATACATGCTGTTTCAAAATACTTAATAGCAGAAATGGAAATTTACAACTGGCAGCTAATACAATAAATGTATATATTCAATAATTATTCGAAATGAAAAGGGAAATACTATAGATAAAGATTGTACATGTAATAAAACATTGACTACCAAGCGTTTAATACTGATGCAAATACGTGGAATAAATATTTCAAATATAATAATCGTACTTTTAGGGCATATCTTTACAACAATACATTTGCTTATAAAAAGTCAATTTTGACCTTTGAGCGTTTTAAGTTATATCAAATATACTGTTGGTTGCCCGACACTGTGTCTTATCTGGTATATTTTCACATATCATCTAATGGAGCCATTCATTTATGTGACATTCACATACTATATCGATCAACAATAGAAACATCAAATATTTATGATATCTAGATGTTCCGTTTATGACAGATAATCGGCATTAATTGAAATAGCCCACCCGGGAGAAATAATTTACATATAAAACACCTTGTATTTGCACAGAAAAACAATGGTGATGTAGAAATGATGGACAATATTCAATATCTGGTGAAAAGATGAAATATTCTATGAAAATATTCAAAGAATACAGTTTAGTCAACAACCATATTCTATTGAATTTTTATAATTAATTTTCTTCTATTTTGTCATTCAATTCTGATAAATTGTATTTCCAAACCCGATGCTGTATCATATTATGCGGGAAAACGAAAGATCAGGTGCTAATATAAAACATTATTAATATTTTCTTCTTTTTTTTGAAACACAAAAACATCTTTTTAACATTTAACCTGGTGGAATTTTAAGTTCAAACCAGCTTCACCAACATGTTTTATACTGGTTGCTAGTGATGTTAAGTTTTCTCCACATTATATAGTGATAAATAATAGATCATAACAATTTCAAGGGAGCTGAACATTTCTTTGTACAATTAATTCAGTAGGTAGGGGTTAAAGGGACTTTACTGATAGTTTAAGACATGACGAGACTGGGATCAATATATCTGTTAGAATTACCAGTGTACCATTTAATAAAGATGGCCCAATAACTTGTATGCTAAATTTCAGTTCATTCGCTCAATCCGTTTAATTTTGTTTTCTTTACTTTATCAGAATAATTATTCTAATTGTGTAAAATGATCTAGAAGTGAAACCCAACGTTAAAAGTTTCAACTAAATATGGCTCAGGATCGCATAAAGTAATTTTTAATTTTATCCTGAATATATTACTTTATATTCATTCATATTTTATCTTTGAGTGCCGCTGAGCCAGTAGAGTCCCATGCCGGAATTTCGACTTAATGTTCTCCTCATTCGAGCTTCTTTAAAATTATCAAGCAGAATTTGTATGTCCTAATGCAACGTTTGAAGTCAACATAATTACTAAAAACATCTCACTAAATCTCTTACAAAATTACATAGGCAGTTTAAAAAAAGATGAAATAAGCACGTTTAGTTAGTAAATTGAATGTAATATGTTCTCCTATATTCTGTATCAGAAGTCAAAAGACAGCATGATAGAGAATGTCACGAAAGAACAAGCTTTGAACATGATTATATGAAAGGCTTTTTCATATGGTTCTAAGTTAAATCACACCTTGTTTTCAAATTAATTAAAGAATGCTGCGTGTGGTATAAATCGTTTCATTGCATGACCTAAGATATAAAAAGAAATGAACGGAAGTAAGCCTGGCAAGGCAGATGGTATTTTAATCAGGAACAAACGTTTTGTTTTTTAAGAGTTATACATAAATGAAAGAAAATGCAAAAAATGAAGGAAAGATACATAAATGTAAGAACGCACCGACTATACAGTTATAATGCCTTTGATTCTAATGGCATGATATAATTTGTGTGAATTTTGAAATGTGCATAAATAAATGCACTGAAATAGAGCAAAATAATTCCAAACTGTTTGTATACATTCACGTGTACATCACGTTTGAATTTTTCTATTTGGAATTCGATCAATCTTGTAATGACATTTTGACATCAAAACATTATATGTAACATTATTTATTCTGGCTATATGACAGTATATAACATCTTTTTAACATTCCTAACACGAATTTAACTGTATCTCGCAGCAAGCCCTATTTACGCCAGCATAAATAATTCGTAGCCTTTAAAGCTTTTGTTTCGTCCTCAATACTCATTGCGCTATCCCAGACAACGGCATTCATACAATAAATATCATTTAAGTACAGATTAAATTTACGTGAACTTTTAACAAATGTGGGTGGCTAATAATATCTTTTTAAAACTCTTTTTGTAGTATGTGAAGAATACGGTGAGCATATAACTCGTGCCGATTAACCCCATTATTCTGCTTTTGAAGATTTATAAAAATTTGAACGCATTTCTTTAAATCTAACTACGTTCATTTGGTAAAGTGTTCATATGCCACATTGTCCGGTGGCAATGTAAGTGCATTTTGATATCAAAATGCTAAAAAAACAAATAGGCTGAAATTAAATCAATCTACAAGCAGTACACAATCGCATTCGCCCTTGACATACAAAACAAAACTTTTTGAAATAAATTAACTTTTGTCAAAGATTATAGACATTACGAAAATCATTGTTATCCTTTTGAAGTTCATCAATTTTACAACTGTAAGCTACCATAAATT